TAAAATGAGCAGAGGACCTGTACGATGAACAGTGAACTTGTGGATCTAATTCAGAACAAAATCTAAATAGTTTCTAAAGATCAAACTCAAATGAAATAAAATCAAACTGGAGTCAAAATCAAATCATTTGAACGTGAAATTGTACCTACAAAGACTTCAGAAAACTCTGAACAAGCACTTGAACTTGTTCTTGGAACTCGAACTGTGCAACATCAGGAGATCCGAATATAGAACATCAAACAAAGACTTTGATTTGGGCTAGATCCGAATCCGAATAAAGTAGTTGAACTCGCACTTGAACTCAGACTATACGACATCAAGTGGGGACTTGTAAACTTGATGAATTCAAGTCTGAATGAAACTGAATTTGGATCAAAACACATACAAAGATCAAAGTTTGGATCACACACGGGAAACTCAAACTAAAAGACCTCGATGCATGAATTCCTACAACAATCCCTACAATGCCTGTTGATTGAGATGGCAATACGGGAAACCAATAGTGGAGGACCGTCCTCTACAAACAGATGCAACCCAACAACAACCCACCTGAGATTGGTGAAAGGTGGTTTCGATGCAAAAACAAGGGCTCTCCTACAAATGCTGCTAGGAGGTCGTAGTGGATAATACGATTTCCAGCAAATGAATACTTGTGGTAACAACAGTATGTATGTCGTATGTACAATGAACCACTGTGGACACAAGTACATCTCCTACGACGATCCCTACGAGGTCAAACAAGTACAACAACCACCCGAGATTGGTGAAAGGGTGAATATGATGCAGAAAGAATGAATCTCCTGCAAACATTTTCTAGTAGCTCGTAGTGGATACAGTGGTCCCCTGCAAATGTATACTTGTGGATAACAACAGTGCATTGTATAACGAATCACTGTGGGCACAAGTATTGATATCACCTACGACAGCGGTGATCAAAATCTAAAAGTACACCGGGTACAAAGGCAGCCCGATGTACGAAAAGGACACTCCTTGGTAGAAAGGGGGGAAATGTTTGAACAAATTAGAACCAAACTTTCTGGTATTCCAAAGTCTCTTTTTGGTTCTATAATAAAGAAGAGAACAGTTCGGGTGCCCACAAACACGGGAAATAAAAAGTCTGTTATACTGAAGATCCTAAGAGTTCTCCCCAAATCAGCGATCATTGACTCCAAAATCCAAAAAATCCTCCCCCAATGAATGAGAAAGGGGGAGTCAATATCAAAATCCACGCCACAGGATCTGCAACACTCATACAAGCAGACAGAAGGCGTCTACAATCTACAACTCAACGCCACCGGATCTGCAACACTAATACAAGCAGACAGAAGGCGTCTACAATCTACAACTCAACGCCACCGGATCTGTAACACTCGTATTAGCAGACAGAAGGCGTGTATAAATTCTCAAATGAAAAGTTGTGTGCATCTAGATAATAGTTATTTACACAACTACAAATACTTCAAAGTACCACTGCACCTACACTATAGTTTGTATACACATAGGTACACAATGGGGTACGTCTAAATCAACATAAAAATCACCTGCATGGGCCCCGACGAGCGTGTTATTGGTACATATGTGACGCCTGGGGATGCTGCGCGGGTCGATAAGTGAATTATAGTTCGAACATGATCCTTCTATACGGACCAATAGAAGTCGACAGGGTTCGAACCTTTAAACGAATACACGGTTGTGGCGATCAGTGTATTTGTTTCAATACATTTATGTTAGACCTTCAAGGCTTACAATCAAAAGAATTCATTAAATAAAATGCATGAAGCCTACGAAACCCGATCCTCCAAAGCAGGTGAATAGGAGTAGACGTTCAAATTCTCAGATAAATATACGGTCATGAATGTGATCGGAATGTTTATTTTAATACATTCATATCCGGCCTTCAAGGCCTAGAATCAAGAAAATTCATGAACAAATGCATAAAGCCTACGAGAAACCCGATCCCCTATCGTTAAGTTGATAGGGTCGACAAGGTTCAATCAAATGGAAATGACCTCGAGGTCACCCCGATGATGGCTGTGTTGAATGAAGATCTCAACCGGAGGGGTCAATTTCAGGCATTCTTAAATGCCTCCCAAAAATCCAAAATCCAAGAACTATTTCAAATTCCATCCCAAATATCCAGATATTTAAAACTGAAATTCAATCCATCAAACACTTAAAGCAAAATTCATCCACCCTCCGCAACAGTTTGCCGAGGTGGACAAAACTGAAAACTACTCTAGCTCATAAAAGAGTCAAATGCCTAGTCGAAAATATCACTAGGATCCATTCTCAAACAATCTCCTGCCAATAAGGACGTGGTACGTGTCCTCTAACCGGCGGTTGACCGCCAAATGGCACCGCAGGATAAACGGTTATGACCCGGGGCCCTCTGAACCGAGTGGTTTTGCCGCCAAATGACACCACGAAATACCGGTTATGGCCAGAGCCAATACGCTCCTTATTGGCATCAAATCCTTGAGATATGAATCAATAGGATATGATCGATAGGGCACAAAGCCCTCTGTTAGCTAAGGTGGATTCAAATTTGTCCCCTTAGACAAACATTCAACCCCGGTCTACAAGGTCCCCTTGGACGAAGCAACCCATGGCTGCCGACAAGGATCCTTCTGTCAGGTTGGGTCCACTACCTCCTCTGACTAAGTAGACCAGGGACCACGATGGCCCGGGACGACGGAACCATGGGATCTTGATCGGGCCCATCATCCATTTCCCCACCATCCGCTTTAAGTGCAAGATGGTGAAATTTCTATTTTTAAATATCAAATCTTCAATTCCCCAAATCCAAACTTTTTTCCAAATTCCAAACTCTCAAACCCATTGCTGCTACTATATGCCAGATAACATGTATCTCTATACGTATCTGATTGATGACTAGCCTTAATCGAAAGTTCTCTCTCGTGATCGGGAGGGGTAATTAATTATAGGGGCTTGCGCCTATAGGAAACCAGAACTCAGATTATAAAGTCCTCACAAAATGAGGGCGAAATCTCTGGGTAGTGTCTTATCTACAAACCCATCTGCCTTCCAAAATTTACTCCGGAACTTAGTTCGTTAAAACTCCCTCGCTCAGATAAAAAAAGAAATCGTGCGGCGGGGAGGCCGGGGCTGAATTTTCGGAGCCCACATTGTGCTCACGTTGGAGGCATTGGAATGGTCCAGGCTTACTTCTTTCTTATGGGTTTTAATTGTTAGCACCATAGATTTGCAACTGTTTTGTTAGTTTTCTTACTCTAGTTTGTGCTGTAATAAATTTCACCTTTAAGTCTGCAACAAGTCGTTTTGCATTGATGCTGGATGATTTCAGTTTCTGTTTTTTAAAGTGTTTCCCAAATTATAACTATGTCATATGAATTTAAATTTAAAGTTTATTCAGAAGTTCTGTAGTCCACTTGATGATTTAATTTATACAAGCTTTCGTATCAATACTTATAATATTGGGAAATTTGATGCATAATTTTGACACAATCGAGATAGACTAATTTTTTACTTATTCCAACTTGCTTAGTAAAAGTCATAATGGGTGTTCATGAGGAATGTATCTAACTAGATAGTCCACCTCTATTATGTGATGAGAACATCAGATCATGGAAAGTATATCAGAGACGTGGACGACGATCAACGGCCACGATCACACCGATCTATTTTTTATTATCATTGTACTAGTTTTATGTTTTAAGAGTTTTGTTATTTTTCTTCTGTTTATACCCTTGCTTAAAGGGTTTAGTATTATGTGTACCCTAGGGGCAACTATGTCTTTTGTTTTCTTTCACTATGTATGGCTATATATAAGCCACTTGTATTATTTTGAAGGTTAATGAAGAATTATTAAGATATCTTGCTTATTGTTCTTGAGAGAGCTCGAAGGAGAGTTAGAGAGAAAAGAGCCTGGGAGAGGCTAATCGCATTACCCAACAGCTACCTCCGGCGAGCTCTTGGTCTTCATCATCCTTCTCTTTTCTAGTTCCTTTTTTTTTTCCTTTTCTTTTCTCCCACCGTCGGCATAGTTTCCCACCCGTCCCCTTCTCTTCCCACTCGGGCAGGCCAACCCCCGCCGCCACCTAACTGCCGGCGTGAACCACCCACCACCACTTCTCCCCGCCGGACCTCCTCCACTAGATCCCAAACCGCCGGCATCTTCATCTCCCTTCCCCTTGAATTCTCCATTAATATCCCCATTACTTCTTTCCTTATTTGGGCTCCTTAAATTTTAGGAAAAGATTTGAATTCAAATTCAAAACAATTTGAATGTCAAATGCTTTCTATTTATACTTAAGCCTTGAAGGAAATATCCCTCCATCACCTTAAATCTGAGATTAATTCTCAGATTTGAGCATTAATTACAATTCATTGTGTGGTCCACATTCATTGAGCATTTGACATTCAACCTAGGCCGGCCCACTCCTCCCCCTCTCTCTCATTAATTCTAGCCATTATTACTCCCTTATTAACTCCCAAAATTAAGCTCCATTCAAATTCAAATTGAGCCTAATTCCCTCCAACCCGTCTTAATTAAAATTTATTAGCCATTCAAGCAATTCAATCCTCTCCACGTTTCCTCCCTTCCCCCCTCTTGCTGCCAGCCTGCTCCCACCGTATCTCTCCCTCTCCCTAGCTTTCTAACTTAATTTCAGAGAAAGGAGAGCTGCAAGGGAACTCCTTATCCCTTACACTACTCTGTTTTCCCCAACTGACATGGAAACCCTGCTTATTTTCCTGAGCCGGGTTGCTGTCCAGACTTCTGGAAATTGGTAAATTGCTGTCCAAGCAGAAATCTGCAGTTCTACACTAGCTGGTCAGCCCCAGGATTCAATCCGTTGCTGTCTAGACTTCTCCTAGTTGCTGTTCCACAGTTCAAGCACTTGACACCTATTGCTTAGAAGGTTTGGAACGTGAAATTGCTGATCAAGATTGGCCAGGTAATTCCCTATTGCTAAGGTGAACTCTTTTCCAGCTCTTATATCACCTAAATCTCCTTCAATGGTGGATTTATTGGGTCGTAAAGGATTGTATTGATTTTCTCCGCTTGATCCATCTTGACTAGAAGAGTGATTAATTGGACAACTTCATGGTAACCTATCTCATTGTTAACCTAGGGATTTTGTTGAAGCTCAACTACGTATGCTTTACTTGATCTATTGACGCTTAAATGTTCTCAGCTTTTGCATGTGACTTGGCCTAAATTGGCATCACCCCACTCTTGTTTAATTTCATTGTTTGAAATCTCCATAAGGTTTGAAACTAATATTGCTTAATATAGATCCAAGCGTGCAAGATTCTTATTTAAATTTTGTTTTCATATTTAGTCCTGCATCATTATGTCTCATGATTATTTAGATGGGATCAAAAAATGGTGTGACATATACAAACTCCACCTATCCAATTAGCCTCACCAAACCCACTAGCCCAGCTATCTATGTTGAGGAAGATAATGATCAAAGGCTTGTGAGTAAGCATTAGCCTAATAATTACCCAACCTTGAGTCTAATCAAGTGCTTGAGCCTAAGTTTGACTCAGCAATCAGACTCAAGTAAATTATGCCGGAGTTTGATAATAGGCATGAATAAAACTCATCTACTAATGTTGTTTCACGTCATCTTAAGATGGAGAAGAAGGATGCTCCTACATTTCTTATGTTGTTGCAGGCTCCAAAGAAAACCTTACTAGTTTACTTCATCCTGGCACGACTACCATATTCATACTTTCATGAGACACTTATCTGTGTTGTAAATTTGACATACTTGCATCATATATGGTAATGACAAGCCTCCAAATCGGACATTAGTTGTATATACACAAGTTCTCTTCTGCCTCTCTTATACATATATAGGGGAGAGACGAAATGGTAAATACAAGCTAGGTAATGCAGAAGCACATACTAAAAAGAAAATGAAAGCATAGAATTGTTCATTGTGATTATGATCACTCAATGATGATCTGGAAAGAGGGATTCAAAGTTGAATGTCAGAAAAGGAGATAATTTGACCCCTAAAGAGGGAAGAACAGGACAAAATATAATTTCTTCTTATTACATCCATCACTCATGCAGGCTGCATGTATATGCGTGACACATAATTGTGTCAATAATGAGTGTATGTGTGTGATGTGTATGAATCAACATAGTGCCATCTGATTGCACACATGCACAATTACACAAACAGCATACAAGCTTGCAAGCATATGTCAACAACTTCCCACATTTTGTAAGGTTATAAACAATTCATAGCATGTATATACAACGAAAAAGGGGAACAACAAACCTCCAAAGCACTTCGTGTGTATTCCCTAACTCGAACGTAAGCATATTCTATTTTGCCTGCAAAAACAAACTAGGTGAAGGGTCGGAAATAGAGTTTATTAATACACAATTCCAAAACTGAAAGATATAATAGTAGAAGAAATATATTAGATTAAATAACAGAAACATCAAGATGTTGCATAATATAAAAAAGACTTGATGGCATTACGAAACCATTGAAATCCCTTCAAAGGTAGTTTGCATATTAAATATTGTAGTAATTGATGACAGATTTTATGCATTATCAAGCATATTATTACAATCTATATATATATATATATATATATATATATATATATATATATATATATATATATAATCTTAAGTTGATGACCAACTGCACACACTAATGAAGAATAACTAAAAAAAGCATAAACCATTTTCCTGAATTCCATGCAACGCAGTTACTTGAACATTCTGCACGCGCAACCACATCCCCAACTCATTCGCATCAGCATTCCTTGCTGAGTGACAACCCCAATCTCAATCAGCAGTTACTTGAACATTTTGCAGCCACATCCTAAATCACAACCATGCCGCATCGACCAACTCCCCTCATTCTCTTGCACAATACATCTCATAGCTTTGTAAGTCCTTATTAACCTCTTCGCATTCTCTATGTTGGCCCCTCGCACACATCTCCCTCAATTTCTACAACCTCGGTAAAACTACAGCTCTAGCCGACTCCCAACTCCAACAACCAACATAACTATTAATTGCATTTAGTCTTTAGAAGTCCGCTTCATAATTAAGTAATTATTTCAGGACATGGTTTCTTTTCCAGCCTTTGAAGGAATAATTTGGATAAGTCATTTGGGGTATGATGATACCTAATGTGATAGCATTAGAATAATATTTTGTGCAAGAATTTGTTATGTATTGATTGCATTGACATATTAAAATATGTCATAGGAAACATAACATAACACATGGCTACTTTTGATATAGTGACTATATGTAGTTACTTTCACCTTTCGGTTGTTCATATTGTATGCCCCATCTCTTTTGTCATTTATGCTTTAATAGATAGGAATTACTTGTTGAGTTTGATTTATTAAACTCATCCATTATCTCTTCTTACAACAAGTCCTACAAATGTGTTTAGCGGACAGTCACTTCAAAATCAGAATTACCAGCAGTAGACTGTTTTTGATATTTTTATTTTATAGTAGTTTATTTTTCTTTTGATTTTGAAGGTTGGGCAGTTTATTTCATGTTATCCATTTTGTTTGAATTTATTTGTTTGTATCACTATTATTGTCTAATTAAATTTAATTAACGAATTAATATTTTAATTTTCACTTTTTATGGTGACTTTGTTGTATATATATTATGCTAAACCATGGATATACATGTTTATCTCTATGAGTAGAAGACATGTTTTTATATCCCTTCATCACATCCGATGCTGTCGGGCTGTATCGCCTTCCGAACCCAGGGTGTAATAGTTTCACCCGGAGCAAGGCTCCTTTGCAATATTATCATTCTCAAATAACACGGTTAAGTAAACTTCTTTATTCAAGAATGACTTGAAAATCAATGTTGGCATTCCAGCAATCCTTGAACAACCAACAGCTGCCTTCGGTGTGGGAAGATAGAAAGACAAGAAGCCCTTAATTAGACCTGTCAATTTCGGGTTACGGGTCGGGTTCGGGTCAACCCGAAATTGACCCGGTATTATTCGGGTTCGGGTCGACCCGACCCGTTTTTTCAAACGGGTCGATTTTCTGGACCCGAACCCGACCCGCTTCGGGTTCGGGTCAACCCAAACCCGAAAATTCCGGGTCGGGTTCGGGTCGGGTCAAATATTGACAGGTCTACCCTTAATCAAAAGTTACGGGGAGCCGCTGAAGTAAATTCAATAATGTTTTAAGTACGAAACAAAGCAATTCAAGCCTGAAGCTAAGAGGTGGAGGCAAAGAAACAATGAATTCTAAATTTCACATATCATAGAATGGATTTGCAGCAGGAGATGCTTTTTGGACAGCAAGATTACCTCTCTTTCTTGAATCCTAAGAGTGCTTAATCAGATTCTCTATTTTGTAAATGTCATCAAGTAATGTATTATTAGCTTTTCAAAACAAGTGAACCACTCTATTACATTTTGCAAGGGTTTAAAATTTAGTGGGGCCAAAAATTGTCTTAAAAGTAAGTTCTGAAAGAAAAACCACCGCCCAACAAAAGGTAAGGGATGGAAGAAATTACCGCAACTGCCTATCCACTTGGACCTATATATGCAGCCGGCTGTTTGGATGTGGAACTGCAGGGAAAAGCAGCTGCAGTCATTTACCACTTGAGATAGAAACATCGACATCATACAGTTGGTTTTTGGTTAAAGTGTTATCTTAAGCCTATTAACGTGTCATTGATTCATACATAAGAAGAATTCAAATACATAAGATAGAATGCCATCTGCAAACCCATAAGTTACGAAGCTGTTCGTGGGAGAGCTCAACCAAAAATTGAAAGTTTTCATCAAACACCTTGCAGTCCACACCCATACTCCTTAACAAAACAATAGATGAGTTAACGTTGCATCTTACTTTACCTACTACCTGCCTCAACTCTCCTGTTGTGTGTTGATAGTGGAGTTATCATTAAAATTACAAATAAGTTCAAGATTTCATTTTTGGATGAAATATTATATCTAATTTTGTGATCATTGTTCTTCTTTAACTCGATCAAGTTATAATCAAATTAAGATGCATCCTCGACATAAGTGGACGATACCTTTTAACATCCCTAAAGGTCTATATGAATAACTAGAAGATAACATTTAGCGTCCCTAAAGGTCTATATAAATAATGAGCGACATCTTTGTTATTTTTCATATTTAAGTACTTTATGAAAATAATGAACAAAGTTTTAGACTATTTACTAGTAAGTTTCTAATTGTATGGTTTGATGACATCCTTATTTACAGTATATCTATTATATATAATATTCCTCGAAATTTTAGAGACGCCTCAACATGAATAGCTGCATATAATTTTGAAGTGTACCATTTTTTCAGTTTCTTGTCATATTGTAAGGTTTTATGGTCTCTCCAAAGGATTACAAGATAGTCCACAAAATATTAATATTATCATTGATTGGCCTTCACTACACTCAGAAGGTCATCATTGATGGCCTTCACTACAATCATTTCTTACATCCAAACTTATGATGGAGCATTGCATCAAATTGTTTTACTAACTTGGACATTGTTTATATTTTAACCATATGATTATAGCACTAATAGATGTGTGTGTTTTATTATACGACTAATTTTGATAAATAAATTATTCATTAAATGAGTTATTAAAATGGCCTCAACAGATGGGCAAATTATTCAGCTGGGTATTTGATATGCATACCCATGTAACTTTCATTAAGGCTGATTTTGTCATATAGATGGATTACAAAAAGCAAATTTGCGAATTTGACCTTGGCCACAATGGTTAGACGGGAATCTCATTAAGTCACGGTTTGCTTGTCCCTTTATTATTGTTTTCTAGATGATGATCATAGAGTTGTTGGATCGGAATGTATTCGAAGGATTTTTTAGAATTTTGAGTCAGAAGCTAGTGGCGCAATTGTAATGGATTGATTTCTATCTTTCGTGCTTGTTGATTATTATGTTCTGTTGCAATAGGGTAATCAATAGGCTTCAGTGTGACTAAAAAAAGTAAATATGTACTATATATTTATAGGAGAGAGAGAGATGTAGGTAGGCAAATGATCAGACACAGCAGGTAAGCCAGCAACAGGATGATTCTGGATAACTACTACAAAATGGAAAATGAAAAATATAATTACAATATATGCAAATTTAGTTAATGACTAAATTCAGGCTGGTAGCTCCGTAAAAAATGATGTCAGGAAGGGAAACACTAGTACAATTAATATATCAACTAAACGCCTCAGGTATAAGAAACACAATCAGCTACCTGCATCAATCCATGAAACCATATAACTTCTAGGCGTACTAAGAACAAGTGGATAATTCTTGAGAATTACGTATTGCAAAACTGTAGGAGTAGATCATAAGTTCCAGCAAAATAAGAATTCAATTATAAAGAAATCATAAATACAAAAAAGAAATCGAATGAGGAATTTATTATAACTAAAACATAGCCATCCAGCAAAATAAAGAAAAAAAAACGAATCAAAGACAAAAAAAATGAAGAAATTCTTACTAACCATCAAATCTTTTATATAGACAATCAGTTGGTAAAGAGTATTTACGACAAAAACCCTCTGCAGCCTGATGAAAAAAATCTCATATCATCAAAACTAATTATCTTTAGTATACGGTAAAAGAAGAATAGGGATATCAAAAAAGGACTGCTGATTAGAAATATATAAAAAAAAATTAAAAAATTAGAAAGATAAGAAGAAACTAATAAGAATTTTAATATCTTAATACCAACCATAAAAGAAATGTCTACTAGAAGTCATCACAGCAGCGTTGTACTAATCCTCTTCCTTCAACCTTCTCACACGTTTTAACAGAGGAAATTTTAATCGAATAAGAATTTCTAAATATCAAACTTCAATAATATTTGGTATCAGATACTCTGATGGATTGTGATCAATTTAAAGGCAGAAACTAGGAAAATAGTGCAATATGATAACGGAACGTGCATTTCCAGTCCATGGTTTAAAATTGCGCAATATTGTCCCTTTAAGCCTCAAATCCCACGCAATGAGTTCCGGATTTGAGGCGTACGCCTCAAGTTTACTGAGGCGCGCCTCAAGGCGCACCTCGCCTCACGATTGAGAGGCGTCCGCCTCTAAAAATTAAAAAAAAAAAAAAGCTAATGTATATGCTCGGTACCGCTCAGTACATGCTCGTTATCACTCGATATCTTTTCATACAAATAACTTACTAACTTTAAAAATAAGCATAACTTCAAAATTACTCTTACAATAAAAACATGACTGGGCAGGTCGAACCCCGCCAGGGGGCAACGCCCCCTTGGACCCCCAGCAAACCGGTATATTATTCTATTAATGTTATCTTATTATTGGGATATTTTGATTTCACTTCATATCTTGTGCATTTTTATGTTTTATATATTATTTACTCATTAGTATATACAAAATTTATCATTTTATGTTTACGCAATTTTTTTTATTTTGAGGCTTACGCCTCAAAACACCTTGAGGCGTACGTCTTGTCTCACGAACAAAAAATGCCTCAATACCCGATTACGCAATTTTAAACATTGATTTACACCATTGTTTTGTAGGTATTAATTAGACGGTGTTCCATGTGAGTCATGCATCTCTGTAAATTCATGCACCACACAATCCTCTGGCAATGATGATTACTATTCCAAAACTCTCTAAGTAATTATCATTATAATATATATCAAATTATGCATCATACCAAGCTCAAGCACGTCCAAAATCTTACCATCAAATTAATTATCCATGTCCAAATCTATATTCACCTCCATCGTGTGATAGTATAAATTACATGAAGAATGAACCTTCTTGATCTTCTCGTCAAACTTTTATCACAATCCCCAATATCAATCTCATAGATGTCAGTATTCAACTTATTAACAAGAATGATATTATTGTTATGATAAAATGATGAATCCCATGATTATCAACCTTCATGCTTAATCTAAACAATCATTTCATAATTAACTCATATGATGATGTTGATTATTACAGTTAGTAATCTTCCACTCCAAATAATAATTCAAGTATTAAAACATGTGAAAATTACAATGATAAAGAAAATTTTTGACACATTTTTTGTGTCAGCTCGGACCCAATCAAATAAATTGACTCCTCCAATTTGACTCAATTTGGGCCCAATTTAAATCCAACTAAGCTCGATTTCATTAAATTAAATCAAATCGATAAAGAACAAATCAAATCAATCCAAATTGAACTTAACTCGGACTCAAATTCAAATCCACTCAACCCAATTGATTAAATTTGAACTCAACGATTCATATTACCTCAAATTTTAAAATATGTTTCTATGTCCTTCCTGGCAAAATTTCGCAATTTAGGGGATCTCTATGGCTCGAAGTAGGCGACTAGAGAGGGACGGGACCTTGCGTCTGGGGTTGTTAAATTATACAAAACGTGAGAGCAGGAGAATTCTATTGTTCTCTTTGGGCATCCTGTCGCATGCATCCAGCAAAGCATAAGAGCAAGAGACAAGCAGAAGGCTTCCTGCATGAGATTTTTGTGTGCGTCTAGCCAAGCGAGAGAGCAAGAAGCGAGTTGCTCGTTGCATGCCCTCTTCATCCGAGCCCGAGCAAACAGAGAGTGAAACCTCTCTCCTTGCGTGTGGGTGTTGGAGTCAGACCGAGCGGTTGATGGGGCACTTGTGCGTGCGCCAATGCCAAACCAAGTACAAGGAATCGAGCAGCAGTTTTCTACGATTGTACCTAGGCAGCGACGAGTGACACAGAGCATCCGAAGGTGAGTTCTATGCAGGTCAGAATCTTTAGCTTGCCACATGAAAGCTTATTTCAACTTGCAGAAAAGGAAGAGACTGTTGTAGTTATCTCTTTTCCATAATTAAGAGAGATCCAAGAGTTTCTTCTTCCTACTCCATCAACTCCAGCAAGCTCGTGACTATGGGGATGACATTCGGAGGATTTTGGACAGCAAGTTCGACTTCCATCCCTCCGTTATCTCGCCTTTTCAAGGCAAGAGGATATCGGCTTTCACCGTGACTTCCTCCAGTGAGGTATATTCCTCAAAAGTTAGGAAAATCCCTAGGTATTCAAGCCAATGGATGTGGTTGACGCTCCCAAGACTTAGGACCCTAGAAACCCATGCATTATATTATCTAATGCCCACAAAAAATCCTACGCTTGCTGCCCTCTCCAAAAAAAGCAATGAAAATTCGGTGATTTCCACTTATTTGCTCTTATGTGCGAGCCCAAGCAGGACCCAATGCGCATAGGGTCATTGGACTTATGTCTGACACCCTCCAAATGCTTGTTTCGCATTCATATTGCATGTCTAATCGTTGCCTACGATAAATGTATAGGTTCCTAATATATAAATTGCATGGGGTTCAGAGGGCCCCGGCCTCCGCCCGCTTTTCTTTTTATTCAGCGAGGGAGTTTTAAATGATAAGTTCCGGGGTAAATTTTGGAAGGCGAACGGCGCTGGCCATAACCGGTATTTCGTGATGCCATTTGGCGGCAAAACCACTCGGTTCAGAGGGCCCCGGGTCATAACTGTTTATCCTGCGATGCCATTTGGCGGCAAACCGCCAGTCAGAGGACACGTACCACGTCCTTACTAGCAGGAGACTGTTTTGAGAATGGATCCTAGTGATATTTTCGACTAGGCATTTGGCTCTTTGTGAGCTGAAGTAAACTTCATATATCCACCCCGACAAACTGTTGCGGAGGGTGGATAAATTTTGCTTTAAGTGGGTGAATGGATTTATTTCAATTTTAAATATTTTTTGGATTTTGAGATTTTTTGGATTTTTGGATTTTGATGGGCATTTGGGTGGCATTATGAATTATTGTGGGATTTGAGTGGAACTTTAGATTATTTGAAATGGACCCCTCCGGTTGAGATCTTCGTTCAATACGGCCATCATCGGGGTGTTCAGCGTCATTTTCATTTGTGGATTGAACCCTGTCGACTCAGCCGAGCTATTGACTGAGGATCGGGTTTCTCGTAAGCCTTGTGCCCTTGTGAGTGAATTCTTTTGATTATAGGTCTTGAAGGCCTAATATGAATGTATTAAAATAAATATAATGGTCTCCACAACCTTATATTTTTCAATGGTTCAAACCCTGTCGACTCCTATTGATCCGTATAGAAGGATCGGGTTCGAACATGAATTCACTTATTGACCCGCGCAGCATCCCTAGACGTCACGTGTGTACCAATAACACACTCGTCGGGGCCCATACGGGTGTTTGGGGCACTTCGTAATTGAACTCTGTCTACTCATTTTACCTACCTAGGAGGATCGACTTTAAATTTAATAACCCGCGCAGCATCCCTAGACGTCACGTGTGTACCAATAACACACTCGTCGGGGCCCATGCGGATATTTGATTGTACATCCCCTTGTGTACCTATGTGTATACAAACTACGGTGCAGGTGCAAGGGTACTTTGAAATCATTTGTAGACGCCTTCTGTCCGCTTGCATGAATGTTGCGGATCTGGTGACGTGGTGTAGTAGCTTCTGAATAGAGTTGTTCGCTGCTTCGTATAGGTAGATTGTCGTGCACTACTCGTTGCATGCTTGCATTCATCGTAATTCTTTCATGTTTGCTTATAGACAGTGTACTTTACGTACAACAAACTTCCTACAATGACCCGTAGGAGCTTGCATTCATTGTAGTCATTTTGCACTTTGCTTGTGGATAGCTTTCTTATGCACATTTTAAAGAACCAAATCGTTGCTAAGGTTCTTCGTGATCTATCTGTAATCATCATAATTCTCTCTTGATTGTCGTTGATTTCGCTTAACTAGATAAGTGACTTGTAATTATGCTTTTTCAACTATTGAGATAAGCCTCTTTGTCGTTATGCCCCCTTTGTTATACAGTTTGTAGATGCTTTCTTTTGCTACAATTTCTTCTGCATCTTGTTTGTGATATGATGTGTGACATGTCCATGTTCACAGAGGATCCTTTGTATTTGCAATTTCTTACTGCTATTGTTTATAGATGAGCCATATTTATCATACTTCCCTCTGTACCGCACTTGCGAATCGTGGACCTTTGTAGTTGTTCGTGTGCATTACAACCATACTACTCTTACTTGTGCACAATATGCAAATGACACTTTTACTTATTGTATACCCATTATTCTTCTTCCTTGAATATCTTCTTCAACTTTATTCCTTGCATGGTTGGGTATATGAGCTTTTAAATTCATATTCAAAAATCCATTGATCACAAATTCTTTGTTGTCTTTGAGAATAATTTGTAGCAATCATAATGGACCTAGTGATGTTATATGTTGATGCTTATTCTCCAATCATCATGACATATCTTATTACATATTAGTAGTTGCTTCTATCATCACTTGCAAGTTGAGACCTTGTTGCTTTTCTTTTATCGCAAATAAATTGCATTTGGCCCTTGTTCACATATTCGTTGCGAGTCCCTCTCACTTGGTTCAAGCAAGTTCATAAGTCTCATGTTATCTTGACAAGTTCAAGTTGAGTTTTGCTTGAGTCCAAATCAAGTTTACAAGTTTGTTGTCAACTTGTCCAAGTCCTTGCTTAAATCTAGTTGGAGTTCAAATT